ATTCACAGCTAGAGATTTACATTGCACATATAAAAAAAAAGTTGGATGGTGTCTCTTGATAAGCCATGCTGTGCATTAATGGTTACCTCCTTGGTGGTGGTCTCAGCATCAGGCCTAAGGATGCTGCAGAATCAGGGCCCCTGTCGGGAAGCAGGGAGGGACTCAGGAATACACAACTGGGTTATTAAAGACTAAGCAGTAACACACTTCATCGTGCTGCTCTCTGTTTTAATTTAAGTGACTGACAGCATTTGTCAGGAAAAAGTTCAGCTTCTAAGAAAATGCTGACAAACTTGATAACTGCAGTACTTAATGTCAAGTTGCATTTATTAAACACACAGCTTAAAAATTAAGTCTTCAGTCTGTAGTTAACAAAATGAACTTTGCTCTATTAAAAAACCCAAACTTTTTCAATATTTATTGATATCATTGCTATGGATATAAAATAAGAGAGTACCTTCCTTTCTTAAGCAATTTCCTTTCCTAACATTGAAGTTTTACTATGTGGCATAGAAACAGGGTATAGATATTTATGATAGGAAAGACTGAAAAATATCTTTTGTGATTTAAATATTTAAAAATATAGAGATGTTTTAAAATATATACTTTTTTTAGAGTCGTTCATATTTATATAAATATGAATTATGTAAGGACTGGAGGACATATTTATTTTTACTGTCACAGTTGTAAATGGAATACCCACCCTGCCTGCTTCAAGCTCAGGCCACAGGGACACCTGTGCCACCCCCAGCAGCCCACGTCCCTGGCACAGGGCACAGACACAGCCTTCAGGGCACTTGCAGCAGGAGATCTGGTGGTGTGTAGTCTAGAAGTGACTTAATTTCAGTGAATGGGAGACATCAAAATGAATCATGGCACTTTTGTTGAAGACAGGTGTTTCAAAATAGGGGAAATCTGCTAGCTAAATCTTCAGTGGCTTCCAGCAGCTGGTGACATGCTTTGATCACTGGGTCATCAAAGCATAGTGGCTTGGTAATGGTAGCAGAAAGCAGGATTACAGGGGAAGACCTGAAAGGATCCAGGGCTAAGTCAAGAGGCAAGAGGGAATTGTATTTGTAAGGCAACTTGAAAAGAGAAATTGGCTGTAGTAGTTCTTAGGTCATAGTTCTTAGTCTAAAATGAAAGCTAAGACGAGGAGAAAACTGGACTGATGGGAATGTACCTGATGAAGTTTGTAGGCACTGTCTGTTGTGAGCCCATATCCAATTAAAAAATATATGCTTAGCATAGATACCAGCAGTGCCTTCTGCTTACAGCTCTGAGGACTTTTAGTCCCCACAGTTAGGGAAAGTTGAAATTAGTGTTGAAATTTCAAACAATCTTATAGTATAAGAAACATTAATGTTCTTGAAGGGTTTTCTTTCTCCTTTTTTTGTCATAGTTTGTTGTCCCCAGAATACATTTCCTAGGGTTCAGATTGATCAATTTGGGTTCAGTGGCTCAGTCACTTTGTTCTCTCTTGGGGCTGCTCATGCCCTTGTTCTCACTCCTGCAGCTCCTGTGTCTCCTGTGCCTCTGACTGCTCAGTCCAGCAGAGCTTGCCCCCGTGCACAGTCCCTTCTGCAGCCAAGGGAGTGTATCATCAGTGCTTGTGGGCTGTGCCTGCAGGGTGAAGACATACAGAAATGTCTTTACAACCTTTACACTCTTGTGGACACAAAGTAAAAAGTCGTTGAAAATGTTCCTCCTACTACCACAATAACAATATAGTTGTGTGGGTTTTCCATTTGTTTTTAAATAAGTAAGCACTGTTTCACAACCTGTCTGTTCTGATGTATGTTTCTCCTTTATATATAGATTCTCAGAACAGCCTGTTATTAGTCAGTTTATCAAGGGGCATTCCTTACTTTATAGGGTGACAAGACATGAAAACATATATACTCAAGATAGCCTTTTCTCAATAGGTGTAATGAACAGATTTCCTATTTTCTAATTGTGTCTGAAGAGACCTTATCAAGGCTCTGGATCTCTACCTGCTGTGCAGCTGCAGTGTTTGAAGGAACAGAGTATGGGCTGGCATCCCCAGTCAGCCCCCTGGGCCATTCTTGGAGCTCTGGAGGAAATGCCAGTAGCTTCTTTGCCATGTTACAGACTCTGGGTGAGAAGAAAAAGCTGGTTGGAATTAGTCAGAGCTCAATGCTTAGAGCCAGAGGGTCTCCTGCCAGAAGGGTAGGAGGATAATTTTGTCTTGTTTAAATATAAAATATTCCTGTATCTTTGAAGATGCTTCTCTCCCATCTAGTAAAAGCTTGGCTAACCTGATTTATGAATCGGAAATGCAAAAAGAACAAGACACGAATTTTTTAAAACCTGTATGGCTAGTGCCTGGTGAAACTCCCTCAAGAAAAAGGAGCTTGAATTAACATGTTTTCAATGGAAGATGTGGTGTATATATCAAATACTCAAAAAAGCTGACCAATATAAAGCTCATTTTACACTGTCTATATATTTTCTGCACATTTCACTAAAATGCTAAAATTATACTTATTTATTCATATTATTCAAAATACTTGAGTTATGTGTAAGCTGAAAGGCAAAAATTCAATTCTGCTTTGGCAATGATGATGAAAGATTTCCCATTTTGCCTAGTTTCTAACTTGCCTTTGAAAAGTTAAGCGCTTCCACAGAGATCTACCTGATATTATTATATCCTGCAGAACACCCTAAGAACCAATTTATATTCCTAGGAAGCAGAAATGCTAGATGTTTTAGTCTCCTCAAGGAGACTTTCCCCAAAGGGCACTTCATCCTCAGTATGGGGATGAATCTTGTGGCTCAAGGAAGACGAGAGGGCCTTCCATTTGGGAAGGAGCACGAGGAGAATTTGGATGATTTCCTGTGAGATCTGTGCTTCTGCTGCCCTGGACTGGCCCCCCTCCTCAGCCCCATGATCTGTTGGCAGGTCACAGAGCATGGTCTTTACCCTCTCTGCACCTTGTCTTAATGGTCACACTGAAGGTAGAGACTCTCCTGCTTGCTGCACCTCTGGTCCCAGGGGTGGCATTCCCAACTGCCAAGCAGCACTGTGTAACAAGGCAGTGGATGTCAGGGTGTGACAGGGCAGGCTGCCCAGCTGCAGGAGGAAGGCCAGACCAAAAGGTCCCCACTTGCCTGGAGGCACTCCAGCCACTGGGCTGTTGTACCTACCTGGGCTCAGATGCTCCTGGCTGGATCTCTCCTGCTGTTTATCATCTTTTCCCCTTTCACAAAATACCTTTATACCTCACGGAATTTTCAGTGATGAGATCAGAATGTCTCATCCCATATATATCTTATGGAATAGAGATAATAATGATGTATAAACTAGTTTTATATTTTGAAAGAAGTCTTTAAGTTGTTTCAAGTTGTATAAGCTACTGTGCAAGGCAGAAGAATATGCAGATTTATATTTCCATATATTAGGACAAGCATATCCACATTCTTTGAACCTGAGCTATGCTTGCCCACTGTGCTGATGATTATTTGTAGAGATGGTAGAACTAGAACACACAAATCTGTCTAAGAGCATTGTAACTTCCAACCTCCTCTGTCATCTCTTTGAGAAGTTAAAAGTCCCTTTTGCTTCCAAATTTGACTACATAAATGTATGTGTGTTATGATTGCATATAGCGCAGCAATCTCAGGAACGTAAGTGCCCGGAGATATTGCAGCTGACTTGTAAACAACTCAGAAAGCAGTCAAGCATAGGGTTGGAATGGGAAATGTTAATGCAATTGCCTAAATTAAAGGCCATGGATAAAACAGCTTTGTTGATGTATAAATTACTTGCAGTTAGCACAGAAAATAATTGATACTATGACAAAGTTAATTACATGGAAAAATACTATGAATTTGTATGGCTTCACTGTAAGTGAGGTTTTCTGTATGTCTTAGCGTATGCCATGTAGCTCACAGACCACTGGACGCTTTGAAACCCCTGAATTAAGTGTATAGGAGAGAGAAGATGGTAATTTCGGATGTGGTCCTCCATAGTACAGGATATGTGAAGATCTCCCAGTAATTTTCAGGGGAATAGAATCTGGGTGCTCGTTGCATAGTCTATAATAAAGAGATTTCAGAAACTTACTTCTAATCAGGTGAAGTAAAGGCTTTCCTTAGAAATACAACCTTAAAATAGTCTGGGCAGTTTGAATCCATCCTTATAAATAAAGCCGCAATAGATATAATGCTGCAGCATTAATGAGACAAATAAGAATGAAATAGAAATCATAATCACTTTTAAACCATTATGCAAAATTTTTCTGTGCTGAATATGACAGAGCTGGAAATTTCAAGACCCATGAAAATTGTACTGAAGTAGATTTGCATAATGCATTGGAAGATCTTTTGTGAAAATGGAACTAGTGGGAGTTATTTAAATAACAGGATAGCAGCTATTAACAAAATAGCAAAATTCAAAATAGTAATTTACTTTACACATCTCTTCTAAAACACGTCCAGAATCAAGATAACTGTCAGCAAATAGTACAGCATTGCAACCCACCCTCTCAAAATCCTGAAAGAACAGATCCTGAAAGAAATTCTCAGATTCCTGACAAAACACAAACCTTAGTTGCAGAGCATATTATTTCCACCATGTAAAACAGCTGTAAAACTTTGTACCGCCATGGAGAAGCCATATGATCTTGAGCTGTTAATCCTTACCCATGCTTAGGCAGGAAAAGAAGAATGAATGGTTTATGCTATGACTATTCGAGTTCCATTATGTATTTAGCATGACCACTGCCATTTTCCTCTCCATCATCATCATTACCTCCCTCCCTACTCCTGCCATACCTCATCCTCCTGCAAATGTACATCTCCAAACCCATCTGTGGTGTGTAGAGCTCTTTGACTCCTTTGCCCACGGACTCACTAACGCTTCTCTCCCAGGCAGTGAGAATGCCTTGTCACATTTGAACCACAAGTGGATTCTGGATTCTCCCGCTTGGAGTTCATGGATGTAACCTGGCAGCAACCAATCTATATGTCTTCTGTAAATGATCCTCCAAGGGTTTACCTGTAGCAGTGCTGTCATGCTCCCAGGAATAATCACAAGGTTTGTGTTCATTTTTGTAAGTCTTTATTCTGTGATATGCCCTTGAAACACATGAAGCTCCAGCGTTGTCTATAGATCTTGTTAAAAGGGTGTGGATTGCCTGTTCCACACAGCAAAAGGGCAATTTTTCAATCATTTAGATACTCTTCATCTTTTCCCCTCTAGCCTGGTCAAAACTTCTGGTCTGACGTTGTCCTTTGGTACAGAGAGAGGGACGGTGGCAGTTTTCCTGCACGTGCTGTGACCAGTTCCATAAGGATGACTAGGAGATGGAGAGAGGGTGGTTTGGGTTTGCTTTCTGGTACTGTGACAATTGAAAATTGTTGTGTCTGCATGGTAATTTTTGATAGTGTGTGTAAAGAGGAAAAAAAAGGCGTTTTGCATGCTGCTGTACTTGCTCAAATAAATAATGCTGGGGTATAGAGCAAAATATGATGTTGAAATGCCACTATTTTTTTTTTTTTGGACATAGCTCTCAAGCCTTTATTGTTTCCTTTCCTGAAGCTGGGCTCACTGTTGCATTGTTAATACGTACTTGCCACTTAGAATTGCTTTTTGGGCTGTGTAGGTGTGACTTCATTCCTAATCCTTTCATATCGTCACCCATGTGAACGTCATCTTGCTCGAGTTTTGTGCCATCAAATGATCTCATAAGATGCTTGCATTTCCAGAAAACTCTGCATGATCAACACATAAAGTAACAGACTGAAGGGCTTTTCTGCAGTTTTTTTATCTGTTTGTTTACTGTCAGACATTGATTTAATGGCATCCTATATTCTTTGTGGTTTCCTTTCCTCTGCAATTCATAATGACCAATTCAGGTTGGAATTACAAGAATGTTGCACGCTCACTGCCTGTGGTACTTAAATAGTAGTGGATACTTACCGATAGTACCAGAGATGGAGCATGCATTGAGTGGCTCTTTCCTTGTGAAAACCCTCCTTCTTCCAGCAATTCCTGGCTCGAGGAATTTGTTTGCTGAAGTACCTGCATGCTTTACAGCGCCTAATGAATGCTTTCTGCCTGACTCCTGTCTTTGTTTTCGGTACCGAGTGATACTCCTAGCCTGTGCTGTTAGTTCTGTTAAGCAATTATATATGCCATTCAAAGAAGTATTTAGCTGTGTTTGCTCCAAACGTGCTGCTTGCCTTCATTTGGTTCTTCTGAAATTACCATCGCTGTAAAACCATTTGCCACCCCCTTTCCGATGGCCGATGGCTGTAAAGGTCCCCTGCTCGTCCCCTGCTGGCAGCTCCTTCCACGGTCTGTTTTGTCTTTTCCCATGAGGAACCGACTCATCATGATCACGAGTGGTTTTTGTCTGTACCAGTCTAATCCTGCTATGTTCCTTTTGGGAGGGGATGGCCAGGGCCATAACCAGGTGATACTCAAGAGCATTAAACAAAATATTTTCTAGCAGCCCTCTATGGCATTGCCTCATGCTGCGAGCACACAGAGAAGCCTCAGGTGATAAATGGAGCCTTTTACTTGATTCCTCTGACTTGCCAAACTAGCCAAAAAATGCCAGCTATGTGCAAATGCAGATTTGTGTGGTGGCTGGGGGGTA